ATTCCTCCAAAGAAGTGTGCACCTCTTCCAAATTTGTCCTTACTGAGGGTTCTCTCAGCCTAGGGTGCCATCCAGAACAGGTAATTCTCACAGCAGACTTCCCTCTCAACCCACTGTGTGTATTCCGCCTCCTGTTTGGACCCAGGCTGTACATCTGCTCTAGATGAGCTGGAGGGAGTTATAGCTGCAGAAGACAGCAGGGCTAGGCAAGAGACGGAAGCACAGGATAGGAGCCTAGAAGATAGGACCCTAGAACATTGAATTGTTTCAAGATGTACACTAGTAGGTGTCATTGGTATAGAGAAGATAGATCTTTTTTTTTTTTTTTTTTTTCTAAATTGAGAGAGAGAGAGCACACATGCTCTCAAGTGGAGGCAGGATGTTGAGAGAGAGATCCTAAGCAGCCTCTACACCCAGCTTGGGGGTCGATCTCAGGATCATAAGTGCATGACCTGAGCTGAAATCAAGAGTTGGATGCTTAACCGACCGAGCCGCTCAGGCGCCCTGAGAAGAGACATCTTTTTGAAGGTCTTAAAATTTAATGAAAAAGGAAAAATACTGCTTTGCTTTTTTAAGAGGGACTTGCCACTAGTGTATTATGAATACTATTTAATCAAAGAAATAAGGATGTTAGCATATAGTATGATCATATTTGATAAGCATTTTTACCCATGATTCCACCTCTCCAAACTACCTAAGTGATTAGAATGTATGTATATAAAACAAGTCAAATCTCATCCTAAGTTAGAAAATAAAAATGACAAATACTTCTCCCAATCTTTCTTCTTCAAAAATCAGAATTAATTTTTAAAATATAATAATTGGGGTAATATTAGCTGCAATAAAAAGCTTCCAAATCTCTCCCTCATGTCATAGTTCAGTGCGGGCATTCCAGGTGCTGGTCCGGGGCCTTCCGTCCTTCCCTCCTGTGGCTATGTCATCAGAGTCCTCTTCAGCCCGCCAGTGACAGAAAAGAGGGGTGGATAAAACATCACTTCCCAACTGTCTTGGCATACATCACACATCACCTTCTGTGGGCAGCTGCCTCTTGGGGACAGTGCTGCCTGGTAACACAGGAAGCACACAGATGTGTGGGCAGCTAGCTGTCCCAGACACAAGACCAATAAAGCCACCCCCTCGGCATGCGATTCATTCATCTAATGAAAAGTAAGGTTGTGATGCCTCATCTTAGATACCAGCAGAACTTAAGAACTCAAATCCTCATCTAGTTATAATGCAAATTACAGTCAATGCATGTACCTTATGAACAGACTAATCTGTGTTAGCCAGTTTCCTAGTTATACTCCTGTTTGCTGACTCACATATCTACTCGTTAGCAACCAAAATGGAAATGAAGCCACTGCTGTCTCAGTATATGCTCACCAATCGTGGCTTTTAAAAACTATCAATTGCATCAATACTGTACTGGACATTTGGAAAGTTGGAAATGCCCCTTACCATATATGTATTTTCTTGATCACTGTGGAATATGAAAAAACAATTGTTTGTCATTAGTGTGTCACCTGAAGTCATGGCTTATAAAACTACCTCTGTAACATGTACTTTAAAGGGCCAAATGTTAGGGCACCTGAGTGGCTCAGTCAGTAAAGCATCTGACTTTGGCTTAGGTCATGATCTTGCAGTTTGTGAGATCAAGGCCCGCAATGGTCTCTGTGCTGACAGCATGAAGCCTGCTTGGGATTCTCTCTCCCTCTTTCTCTGCCTCTCTCTCTCTCTCTCTCTCTCTCTTTCTCTGTCTCAAAATAAAGAAATTCAACAAATAAAAAATATTACATTCTTCATATTCTATACCAATATAAGTTTGAGATGGGTCAAATATTTAATATAAAATATAAGCTGTGGAAGAGATTATAGAATGATGCCTGTATAGTTTTTTTAAATTAAAGCCTTTAGCCACGTAATAATTAGAAAGATAATAACAGTAGAAAGCCCAGAGAGATGTTGCCATATAAATAAAAATAAATGCTGAAAAATAATAATTTTTTTTTAAAGGCAAGCAGAGACACAGATTTGCAACGTGAGTGTGATTATAGACAAAAGAAGTCTGGCACCAGAAAAACAGGCAAAGAATATGAACAGAAAATATGCAAAACAAGACATGTAAACAAACAAGAGAAAAATTCACTAGCATTCAGATAAATTCAAATAAAATTTGTCATTGTGTTTTTCTGATGTATGGACTTTGCCTTTACCAGTGTCCCCATGACAGTGGAAATTTTTTTATTGTAACACCTAGTGATTCTAAACCTGGGTAGTATTTTTAGGAGACAATTTATAATGTAATGACAATCTAACAATTTTTTTTATTCATCGATTCCCAACCCTTAAGATTCTGTCCTAAGATAATTGTCATCCTAAGATAATTGTCATCCAACAGTGGTATCTATAAAATCTAAAAATGGAAATAATCTACGTATTTAGCAATAGGAATTGATGGATGCATACACTAAAATGCAGACAGTAGTATTGGTCGATATTAATAGTAGGAATGGGTTTTTTCCCCCAATGTGTGTGTGTGTGTGTGTGTGTGTGTATACATGTATATATATATATATATACTTTTTCTTTTATGTTTACAATGTGCTTATGCCATAATTTCTAATCATTTACAGTATAGAATTTTTTTGTCATACTTGGTTGGGTCTTTTGTACTATGAATTTGAAAAGTAATTCTCCTATTATTTATGGTTCTGTTATGGTTTGGTTGTTGGCATTTCAAACTGTTGATAAATTTGGAGTTTATCCCTATGTAGTATGAAGCTATGAATGAATTTTTATTGCTTTTTCCCCCATAAAAGATCACTATTTACAGTGTTATACAGCTTTTCTACATTGATTTAAGATGTTATCTTTATTATACATCAAATTACTTTATATATTTGGGTCAATTTCTGAATTTTCTATTTTGTAAAATTGATTTTTCTGCCTATATTTGCATCTACCTTCAGGTAAATTATTGAGGCTTTACAATCTGTTGTGGCTTCAGCAGAGCTTATACCTTCATTATTCTTCTTTTAAATACTTTTCCCTTTACTTTCTTGCTTCTTTATTTTTCCATATGAATTTGTGAATCATTTCATTTAATTAAAGATACTTGTAAAACTTAAAAGAGATGAATTTGATTTCATTAAGACAAAATGTAGAAAAACATAAGAAAATTCAAAAGACAAGTACCAAACAGCAAATCAATATTTGTAAATCATGTTCTAGAAAAAGGTTAATTCCTTTATAAGTGAATAAGAAACAGAGAAATACGCCCCAATAGTACACTATGGAAAAGACTTGCCAGAAACGGAAAGATACTTAACATCACTCATCATAAAAGAACAAATTAAAGTACACTGTGAGCTTCAACAGAGAAAGTGGTACTGGCGTTGCCACTGACTGCAAACCCCTAGAAACTGGGCAAAATATACCGAATATCTGTCTCACATGCTGGTTGATGAGTGTATGCCCAAGATCCCAGAGAAGAGGGGCACCCCTGATTGCCCCTTTTCCTGCACTTACCTGTGCTCTTGCTGAATGGAAGACAACAGAGTTTGGGGAAGCCAATGCAACTACAATCTGCAGACATGCTCCCAGAGGAGAGGAATCTCAAGAAATCTGCTAGAGGTCCCTGTGAATCCTTGGCCGAATACCAAACCCTATGTTTACAGGTGTAACTTTCAAGATGGCACAGAGAAAGCTACCAGGAAGCTGTGAGGTGATCGGTTTTCAGTTCAGTGATGGTTGTGGGATAGCAGGTCCCACCATCTAAAGGGGGGAACTCATTAAGCCCTGAGCATGCTGGTGAGAGAGCCCAAAGAGTCACACCACACTTGTAGGACTCCCATCACGTCTGTACATGCACCCAAGCAGGACACAAGACTTGTGTCTTGGAAAGACTGATATGCAAGTCACTCCCTGCATTGCCTGCTGCCAAGGGCATCAACTCTGTTTAAAGAAGACAACAAAATCTAGCCATTCAATGTGGCAATATTCACAATATCTAGCAACCATTAAATTTTACTAGAAATGGATAGAAATAGGAAACTAACCCATAGCTAGAGAAAAATCTGTCAAAAACAGACCTGGAAAGGCCAGAGATGATGCAATTATCAGATAAGGATAAAAAAAGCTCCTTTTAAAATATGCTTAAGTATTTAAAGAACAACGTAAACATAATGAGAACAGAAATGGAAAGAATAAAAGCAACCAAATGAACTTTCAGAGCTGAAAACAATCCCTGAAATGAAAATTTCATTCGATGGCCTGAATAGCAGACTTTACATTGAAGCTTCTTGACTTCCTCGGATCTTCTGATTCCTTTTCCTGTGACAAGGAGATGTCTGTCCCCACAAATTTCAGGTCTGGGAGGGTTATCTGAACATTTGTTGGGACAAATACACGCTTGCTTGCCTGAGTTTATGAACACCCAAGCCAGGCTGACAGAATGCTGTACAAACACATTGTAGTTGTCACTCGGCTCCTGAGTCTCTTAGGATTTTACAAGAAGGACAATATATACAGATAGTTCAACATTTTGACAAAAGTATCCAGGTACAGTAACCTTCATATTTTTTATTTTGGACAGTTGCAGCAAATTATATATTTTTTGTTATGGACAGTTGTAAATTACATCTTTTGTTAATTCTTTAAATTTTAATATTTTTAAATTAGTATTGAGATAAACAATTACACAGAGAAGGTGCATAATTGAGAGACCGGACCATATTTTGTTCAAGTTCCTTTAGAATCTCATGATTTCATAACTTCTGGGATTTTGGGAGTTTAGGGTTTCCCAATCTCAGAATGAATTTAATTTATCAGGAAAATAGAGATGAGACAATAATTTTATGATTTCCAACTCATTTTCTTTGTCTGGAAAGATACAATTTGTTAATACACAATTGTACATGAGAAAAAATGAAATTATAATAATTTTCTAACTTCTATTTACTAAATTTTTTCATCAAAATCTCTTTTTTTTAATCTTTCAGTGAATAATCCCATACCTTCCAATTTGAAATCAGAAGCAAAAAAGGCGGCTAAAATTCTAAGAGAATTCACAGAAATAACTTCCAGAAATGGACCTGATAAGATCATTCCTGGTAAATAAAATATATACCACTCATTTCTAAGGTCGTTTCGTTGTTTAAGTGACTTGGTGCACTTCCTGACCTCAGGCAGTGGACCCCTAAGAGCAGCGCCCGATTCCCTCCTGGACCATCTGCCAGCTGGTCTCCTGGGGGCCCCACACCTCCCTTTGCCTTCTGCCTCTGTGGAAGCTCCCTGTCCTGCCTCCCCTCTGCAGTGCCCACTTTGGTTTTTCCCAAACTCACCTGTTTTTGTCTTCAGTTTCTGAGGCCCTTCTAAGTTTATCTTGCAAAATCACTAGCTAATCTCAGAAATAAATTTTAATTTTGGGTTTTCTCTTTCTAGATAAGATATTTACATTTTATAGTGGTTTAACAAGACGTTAATCAATAATTCCCAACACAGCTACCTATCGCATTCCTTGGGTCATTAAAACACAGTGCTGAAACTCCCTGCAAACCTGCTGAATCAGACCCTGGGAGCAGCATGGCAGGAATGCGCATTTTTAACAAAGTTTCCCACTGTGATTCTAATGTGAGGCTGACCACATAAGACCTGAGTCTAGGGATGACCTTTTGGGACCCACTACCTGTCCATTGCCACTACTGCTTGCTTCTACAGGTGTTTCATGCAGTATGCATCTTTGCCTGGAGGCCCACTAGCTTGGGCAATGCTGCAGAGTAATTCCCTCTTAGTCACCATGACTCTGATCATTACAAAAACTAGTTTATTTTTTTAACTACTTTAACTTCTTAAGCCAGATTTTTAAAGTTACCTAGTAGGACTTTAAATGTTAAATTTGTTATAATAATAATAACTATTATGATTATAATTATCATTATTTTGGTCTGGCCACTACTCCAATTATAAGAAAACAGCACTTCTTGGAGCCTTGCTACCTGGCAGCTGGGTGTCACCCAGGAGCTCATTAGAATGTCAGGACCTCAAGTCCCCACTTAGACCTAATGCATCAGAATCTGCATTCTTCACAAGATCTCCAGTGATCTGTATGTACACACAAGTTTGAGAAAGGACTGCCTTAGGACTTGAAGAAAATTCAAGAGCTGAAAAAACTGAATTTTCAGTAGCAATATTCTGAAGCAGGAGATAGAAGACATTTCTTGATATATATTAGCATCTGCATACATGGCCCACTAGCCCAGTTTAAGGATAAACTGTATTTCCTAACATAGTAATGTCTGAATATAGATTACTTCCCGTGGATTTTGTGCAGTAAAATCCCATCATGACTTTCTTCTGCCTGCAAAGGCCACCTGACTCCCCTTCTGTGAGTGTAGCTGGGAAAATAAAACAACTTTACAAGGCAGCCAGGGGAGGAGCTTGCTCCCAGATGTGCAGGCTGTGTGCGGTGGGGAGGAGACGGCCCCAGGAGCTGCCAGAGAACCAACCTCTCCTTTCCTAAAGCTTTCCTTGGGATGAGGAAGGGGAGGGCATTGTATTTATATCAACACTAGGGTGATCTATTATACATTGGAAGATAAAATTTACAAAAAACAATTTAAAACAAAATGGCTAGACTGTAGAGGTATGAGGTCACACTCGGGTGTGAAAGGCCTAAGATCTGTACAATGACATTTAGAGAATGAATCTGTAATCAGTGCATCTATGTTACCCATGAAAAGCTAATTGGCAAATTAGTTGGGCATTATTGTTATTTCAGTGTTCCTGAATTTGGGTAGAAAATCTATAAAAACAAACCTGAAGTTTAAAATATGTTCATCTGCTTTTGTTCTATCTGAATAGAGGCAACACACAGGGAGAGTGGAGTATGAGGTGTGGGAAAAGATGTTCTGCCAAAATGGGGTTGTAAGAATAAACCAATGTGATATACAATATAGCATTCAACCTCATTACGGTATACTCATAACTTTTCAAATACAAAAGGGAGGCACGCTTAGTGAACTGCAATCTAAGAGTCCAAACTTGTCTTCTCTGCGTTGCTTAACTACGAGTAAGTCCACACATGTCTGCATGCTAACTTCATACTCTTGTAGGAATTATCTCTGAGAGGCTGCCATGGATTTAAATTTTGAAAGGGCATGCATAATTATATTAGAAATGTAGTGTTTTTCTAGGGACTCCTAAAAAGCCTTTTCTATGTTTTGAGAACAGTGTCTGATTTGACTTTCTTTTTTTTTTTTTAAATATTTTTATTTCTAGGAGAGAGAGAGAGAGAGAGGCAGTGTAAGCAGGGGAGGGTCAGAGAGAGAGGGAGATACAGACTCTGAAATAGGCTCCAGGCTCTGAGCTGGCAGTCAGCACAAAGCCCGAGGCGGGGCTCGAACCCACGAACCGCGAGATCATGACCTAAGCGAAAGTCGGACGCTCAACCGACTAAGCCACCCAGGCACCCCTGGTTTGACTTTCTTAATGGAATATTTGACAATAAATCAAATAAATCAATTCATCTTAAAAGTGATGCCAGTGTAAAACACACACACACACATACATGCATGCATGCAATAGAATATTACTCAGTCATCAAAAGGAATGACATGTTGCCATTTACAACAATGTGGATGGAGCTAGAATGTATTATGGTAAGCAAAATAAGTCAGTTAGAGAAAGACAAATACCATGTGGTTTCACTCATATGTGGAATTTAAGAAACGAAACAGATGAACATATGGGAAGGGCATGAAGCAGAGAGGGAAACAAGCCACAGTGGAATTTAACAATAGAGAACAAACAAAAGTTGATCCAGGGAGGTGGGTGGGGGATGGGCTAGATGGGTGATGGATACTAAGGAGGGCACTTGTTGGAATGGGCACCGAGGATTGTACATAAGTGATCAATCACTGAATTCTCCTCCTGAAACCACTATTGCCCTGTTAAAAAAAAAATAAAAGCAACATTGGGATCCAAGGGTAATTTAAAGTGCTCAGCCTTCCCTTGTTATTTGAAAGATATGTTGTTTTGTGAATAAGTCCACAGTAAAGGGAGGCACACTGTTTAGTGGGTGCATATATCAATAACTCTATTGATAACTCAATAATTTTATGTGACAAACTTCCCTGAAATGTGAATAAACCAATGGTTTCTAAATTGAATGATATTCTCAGTACACTAGTAGTTATGTGTTACTAAAGTACTCAAATCGATCATTTCATAAAGTTAAAAGTCTTTTAAAGTGGCAAAATCACTTGGTTTTCCTATGTTTCAATCCAGACTTTGGTATAAGTAAAACGTGAACTAACTATACGGCTTTCAGACCAAAGCTCTGCAGTGTGCAGCATGTCAGTCTTCTTTCAAGTTTCTCCTTAGTACCTAGTACAGCATGGATCTTAAATAGTGACTTGTTTTTTATATTATGAGTTATATTCTCAGTTAATTGAAATCTCCAAATTATTTTTCCTGCTAGTAGATGTCAATAAAAACATCTCATCCGAGTATCTCATTTATCATGGCGGTTGCAGGATGTTTGAGCACATGTGACAATATGTGTAGCATTGGAAACAAAATGCTATGAAGCAGGTGGGAGCAGGGAGGCCCGGGCGCACGTGCTGCGTAACCAAGTTGTATTCAGCTCATATGTCCCATTAAGGCTCCCCTGCCACGGAGACCTCTGTGTGTGTTGAATCTGCTCAACCTTCAGGCCAGTCTATTAAAAAATGCTCTTCTGCCCCTTGTCTTTAATTTTGCAGCCCATGTAATTGCTAAAGCCAAGGGCCTTGCGATTTTGTCTGTGATAAAAGCTGGATTTCTAGTAACTGCTAGAGGAGGCAGTGGGGTCGTGCTGGCGCGTCTTCCTGATGGAAGTAAGTTGATTATTTCCACTTTGAACACAATTCACAGGAGCATGGTAGGTATCTTGGTCTTTCTTTGTTCAGTCCTTGGCAATGAATCACAAACAACAAGGTTTTCTTCTCAAGCACTACCCACATTTTCACAGGCCGACTTCCCCACAGTACAACCAGACCAAGTAGAAGCGCATTCAAAGGCACTTCACTTCTATGGGCTCAAAGTCTGTGAGCTGGTCCCGGTGGTGGTTGACAGGGTGGCTATCTGCAAAGGTGGAAGATCTGTCAGCCTCTGAGTGCTCTCTCAGAATCTCAGGAGGACCTTTCTACTGGGCCAAATACCTAAATTTCTCTTTTCCACTTTCCTGAGTTCAGTTGGTCAGTCCGCAGAAGGTAATTTAAAAGCTGCCCAAATGAAATAGCAGATTCCCTGGGGCTCCTGGGTGGCTGAGTCAGTTAAGCGTCTGACTTCGGCTCAGGTCATAATCTCCCAGTCCATGAGGTCAAGCCCCATATCAGGCTCTTTGCTGACAGCTCAGAGCCTGGAGCCTGCTTCAGCTTCTGTGTCTCCCTTTCTCTCTCTGCCCCTCCCCTTCTCATGCTCTGTCTCTCTCTGTCTCTCTCTCTCAAAATAAATAACATTAAAAAAAAAAAAAAGCAGCAAATTCCCCAGATCCTGGCCAGATGGGCAGTCTTCAAACAGCGATAGCTCCTAACATAGGAAATGGAAAACAACTCTGGGGTTATATGACATAATTTCTGTAATACAAACTCCCTTAAGCCTGGATAGATTAGTTCTCAATCTATTCAAGTAACATCCTGTTATCTAGAACACAACATTAGGTTTAGGAAGCTAATAAGCATTTTCAGAAAGTACTTTATCTAGACAATCCCACCCTCCCCCAACAAATTAATTTTTCCCTAATTCAAATGGAATTATGTACTAAGTTTTCAAATGTAAGGAAATTTATCTTGTTAAAATCTTAATAATCTTGAACATATAGCCTATTTATTGTGCTTCTACTAGGCAAAAAAAACCCAAAACAAACAAACAAACAAAAAAACCCCAACAAACAGATTTTGCTCTCAGAGACTTACAGTAGAAACGGTTTATTATTGTGTTACCCTTAGAGGTGATGATAATGAACTTTTTTGAATCCTGTTGCTCTGTTATATCTATGATAAAATTCTAACTAAAAACTAGAATTACAGCTCAGTTATTTTCTAATACATCATACAAATGTTGATAGTTAAAATTAGATATGTTTAGTAGGTGAGGATTCAGTAGTTTGGTATTATGCACATTTGTAGAGAAAGATTAGGGAGCACGGATTTGTGAGTCTGTAAGACTCAATATCCAATACCTTTCAAATATTTTTAGCTTAAAAATTATATATATGCTATTAAAGAACATGTTAAAGCATAGGGGGAAATACCAAGTCTCATTATTTTAAAAGAAATGCTATTCGTTCACATTGTAGCATTTTTCCTTCCCATATTTGTGTGCCAAGGGGTTTTAATGTTAGAGTAATGTTTGTTTCTTTGTGTTTATTAGAATGGTCTGCACCTTCAGCCATTGGCATAGCTGGGCTTGGTGGAGGATTTGAAATAGGAATTGAGGTAAGTGTATAACAACACAAATGTCATTTTCTCTAAAAGCAGCTGCAACTTACTACATGAAACTTGAGAGAGTGCCTACTGTTCGAATTTCACCATCGATGGAAGATATTCTATTCCACATATTTCACTTTCTGGGTGAATCCCCACCTATAACTATCTAATGTTTACCAGTGTTCTTTCATTGAGAGTGGAATTTTGCTGGTTCATCGTTTGCTTTGTTTCTGTCTTGAGCTCATCTGGAGAGCGAGTATGCCTTAAAGCAGATGGACTGTACCTGGTCACCTATGGCTTGCTCATTGCAAAGCTGCTTACCTCTGCAGCGGGCCGTCAAACAAGCCAGAGCTCAGATCCTGGGCTTACCTGGCTTAATACAGTGTATCTTCATGTAGGGCAAAGCCCAGTTGTGTTATGTCTTTGGATTACTTCAAATGCTTGAAGTAAAGACTGCCTTTGCATTGTTTCATTTTTAAATTGTTTCCTAATGATCATGGCCTCTCAGGTGGGCTCTATACTACACCAGAGCATACCTGTTTGCAGAAGGCTGCAAAAAGGATTATCTTCTCAGGGATTATCTTCTGCATGATGCTAATCTTTCATCCATTGTAGTATTGCTAAGTGATGGGCAAATCAAATCTCCTAATACTCTCAAATCATTTTCTTCTCAAATTCTGGTCAGTTTTTTCCTAAGCCATCTTTTTATGAGTTTTCTCTATTGCCATCGTTTTAAATTCCCTTGGCCTTATTAGAGGCAGGTCTTTTCACCAATCTTACTTCACCTTTATTTGACCTTATTGACTCCCTGTTTCATAAATCTGTATTATAAAAATACTATCTATTTTAGCTTTCCTTATCATAACTGCCTTTTTGTTGGATATTCAACCAAATCAAAGCCATCAAAAGCATCATCCTATGTAGAAAGTACATTTTCATCCATGCACCTCCCTGCAGACGGGCGGCATTCTCTGCACGGATGGTGCTCTGAGTGCAGCTCGCCCTTTCACCCATCTCGCTCCGCTTGAAGCCGGGGACGTGCTCTGGGCATACATCCCAAACAGCATTTGTTTCCAAACTGATGAGAGATGAAGTAATAGTGACTGCAGGAAGTTTAACATATTAAAAACTGGAAACAGGACTCTCTGTGATGACTCCTTGGAAATTACAGGGTATGGGCCTTAGAACATGTTAATAGCCTGGAAAACAAGAATAGTAACATGTAATCCTATCAATACAGCACACGAAATAGAAAGATTTAAAATTGACATTTTATAAAAAAATACTTGATTGTCTTCCAAAGGCAATGTGAGATAGTGGTTGGGCTGTGAGAGCAGAGCTGTTGCCAGAGTCAGGAGCATCTGCAGCTGTGTGTACAGAGCAGCCCTCTTCTCCGGGGTCTGCAATATTCACCTGTAAAATAGGGGTGACAATAGCCTTCCCTTTTGGCTTATTAAGTGGGTGCACTTAGAGTGGCACAAACCATTATAATTTTTATTGTTAACATCTTTACCTTTGCAATGCTTATTTGTGCTTGCAATTTATAGAAACTTTTGACTGCAAAGCTTACCCGTATGGCATATAGAAATTAACTATGGACTTTCATTTAACTAGCATACATGGAGGAGAATGATCAACTTTTTAATATGCCTATTTCAAGTAGAGATTAGAAGAATTTCCTAGGGGTTAGAAGCACTGGCTTTATACTTCTTAAATACAACCAACTTTGTCTCTCTGAGGCCCACAGATACATCCCAGAGTGTAGTCATAATGCCCAAGCAGTCAGTTCCTTCTCAATGTTGACAAAAAGTTGTGTACTTCTCCACAGAGCATTCTCAGACCTTATCCTGAGCATGAGTTTACTTCTCTTTGTGAGCTGCAGCTCTCACACAGCTCTCCTGCCTTGGAATGAGTGAGTAAGCAGAGGTTCACTTGATACAGTGGTTCTTGTGAAGCAGGGCTGTTCTTTTTGGCAGTGCCTTTGGCTTCCAGTAAAAAGGCAGCAGACCTGGGGCCAATGGTGAGCTGGATAGACACCCTCATTTATGGAGAGAAATTAGTCCTCAACAACCCAGGGCTGATGCGGGTTCCTCTTCTGGCATTCTTCCTTCCAGCAGTGGGCTCCCAACTCTACAGTGTTTGACATAGGTATTAGCTTGGTAATTTTCTAATCTGAACTTAATGTAGATTGTGAGTACCTGGAAGGCAGAGACATTCTCTCTTCATGTCTAGTCCTCAGAATGGCCAAATATCAAACACAAAGTAGACAGCCAAAGTGAGTCTCAGTTTCTTTAAGATGGGATATTAAGCTTTCAAGCACATAGAAAGCACTCACCTAATCAATTTATACTATTAATATTTGCTGAATAATGTAATTATCTGCCATTCTATTTTATAATGGAATAATTAACAATAACAGTTAAGAGTTTTGTGAAACTTTTACATATATGCTTATAGAATCAGTTCCATCCCATAGAGACTGGTTATCACTGCTCTCATTTCACAGGTAAAATAACTGGGTGATGTGAGTTCTCCAATAGGAGATAACCAGGGAGTGACAGATGGGTCATTCAAAAGGAGGCTTCTGGCCCTGAAACCACTCAGCAGGTTGTTTGCAATATTGGGTGCCATTTCCCTTAGCAGTCCTCTTATTCAAACCTCCTTCCATAATTGAGAAGAACTTAACTGTTCTTGGCTCCATGGATACTCAGGTGGGAAGTCAGCCCTGGGTCTCATCCCTTGTAGTACCCTGTCCATTCAAAATGTAGCTTCTGTCTGCATAATTTGCCATGGACTTTAGGCCACTAGATGAGGTAGGGAGGGCACATGTGATTATATTCAATACATAAAGACATTAAGCATCTTGCCTAAGATCACACAGCTAGTGTGTGGTTGTCTTTGGTTGGGTTCACTAGATATAGAGCCTGAGACAGGGCTTTGGGTGCATGTAATTTCTTGAACAAATGTTCTCAGGGCTGAAGTCATAAGGGACTAAGGAAGCAGGACAGAGAAGGGGAAGAGATTGAGCAAGGGATGGCCCTAGGTAAACTCAACTTGGTCCAACAATGGGAGAAGGCAAATCATACAACAGCCTTGTTGAGCCTAGAGGCAAGAGGAGTGGTGTCCAGGCACCACTACTCTTCCAGTCCACCGGCTTCTGGTACAGGGCCGAGGCAGCCAATAGTGCCACCACAGTGGGGGATCAGAGCAGGTCTCTTGCATGCGGGACACTGAGTCTCTCAATTCATCATGCTGCCTCCTGTAAGTGATAACACCATTAGTCCATGTGAAATATGAATGTGATCTTCAGAAACTTTAGATTTATGCTCTGTTGTGGGAATCTAAACCAGGTTAAGTTTCTGAAGGTAAATGAAGTTAGGGACTAGGTCATGTTTTGACAGGATCTGGTGGCCTTCCTTAGCTCAGACATTTAGTTACCACTAAGATTATAGTACTGATTCAATTATGTGAACTACTGAGAATTCCCAATGTTTTATAACACACACATACATCAAAAACAAAAACAAAAGATTTGAAAGTCAATGGTCTAAGGAAAGATAATGCTAAGACTTAGTTTAAAGACTGTTGGTATTTTCTTTTCAGGACAATCATAACAAAGCCCAAAGCTCTGAAAACCCTGATATATGGCTTGTCTTTGGATCACTCAACTACTTGTTATAGAAAAGTCAGAGTTCACGATGGGCCAACTCTGATCAGTCTGGCTTTCACCCAATATGGTGATTTGAAAGAAATGATTTAGCTTTTCCAGAGAGAGTTTAGATGAGCTCTTTTACTTTAATGATGAGGAAGGTGTCCAGGTGTAAGTTGAGAAGTTACTGTTAGAGGCTGGGCTACACTTCTGAGCCCACTAAGGTCAGTGTGCAGAAAAGGACCTGGTGGTGTGAGGAATGAAAGGTGTCTGGCACCAGAACCCTGACATTTGGTTTGAACGCTGAGGCTAATGACACTACATGGTGAGGGGTATGAATGGTTATCACCCACATGATCACCAAGAGGCTTCTTGGTAGAGTGAGATAGACATGCCAGCATGTCCACCAGAGACCTGAGAGGCTGGAGAAAGAAGCCTGTCTCAGATTGTATGAGAGGCAGGGGTGGGCCGGTGAGGGTTCCCACCAGACCAAGATCTGGAGCTGGACTTGCTTACAGATCCGGATGTGGGGCGTGGCCGCGGTCCGCTGTCACACATCAACAGCAGTCATGCCCTTCATTACAGGATGTCAGATGAAGGACTCAGAAGCCTGGGTTTGAAGTGGGGCTGGACACAGAGGAGAGGGAGGCATGGCACTGTGCCAGCGGACACGGCTGGGGAGACCCATGTACAAGAGAAGGCCAGCCGATCCTCAGAACGTTTCTCCCCCGGCTTTCCTGCAGGGCAGTTTCTTCATGCTGTTGTTTAAGAATTGAGTATGCAGAACGGGCATCTTACTTATGGTTACATCTTAACAAGAACTTCTTAAGGAGCCTTTATCAAATTCTCACATGTCTCTCACAGTTTTCTTTCAGGGGATCTGTTTTGCTTTTCCTTTAAGCACTTAGTTACTTGGAAACTAACGTGGAGCTGCTGGCCTCTCTCTGCTCTTCCAGTTGCGAAGCTTCGACCTGTTAGTGACATCACCAGGGAACACAGGATTGTCTTACTCTTATTTCAGAGAGAACTGAATTGAGATCAGACAGAAAATTAAAGGGTTACTTTTGTTTCTTTAACTGACTCTTAGAGTTTTGCCTTACTTAACTGCAAAGATGTACCAAGCAGAGGGAGACAATATCAACAAGGTATCTATGTGGGCATGGCTAGAGATTTATGGTTATTGCATGGGTATATACCAAGCATTGTGCAAATCAACTTCATGTATATTATCTAAAAATGTATATATGATATAGTTCATACAATCACTGGCAAAATTACTTACTTTTACATAAAAATGCTAACTAATTCTGGGTGACTCAATATCACAATCCTCAGAAAATTGTCCATATATACAATGGAAATATAGTTGATATAAGTCAATGTGAAGTATTTCACAAATCAGTAAACTAGTATATTTAGTTTGTCCTATGTAACTTGAGTGTAATTTGAATCATTTTATGAAAAAACTAAACATTTTTTAAAAATCTACTTGTATCAAGACCTCTATTAGGTCTTTTCAAGTGCAATCTCTTTTGGTCATAATCATATTCTTCTGCGGGTCAGATGAAAACATTGATTTGAAAATCTTACAAAAAATTAAAGAACTACATAAATGAAGTAATCTTTAAATGTCAGTTTTTCTTGGCCTTTGCATATTTTATTGAGATGTGGCAAACATGTCAGGCTTTACAAATTATTTCAATTAATCCTTCAAACAACCTTATATTTGCGTCTATATACATATATACACGTATGCATAGTATACTTACAAGTGTGGTTTCTAATATTATACACAGCTTACAAAAAAAGAAGCTAAATTCAAGCTGCTCAATCATTTGCCCAAGATCATACAACATGTAAGAGGCAGAAGTGGAATTCATACTCAAACAGTTTTGATTTTTAGCCCAGATTCTTACCACCTTTGTTTTCTAGGTATGCCCAGCACACATATGATCTTCAAATAGTTGAGTAAGGTGGGTCCTATTTTGAAGATTTCACACATGAAAAGATGAGAGATCCAAAGGTAGTCAGAATGCCCTTTGTCAACAGCTCGTGAGGAGGGCTGTGTCCCCCACGGCTGTGTCCCCAGAGAGCTGTGTCTTCCGGAGAGCTATGTCCTCCTCCGAGAGCTATATCCCCTGAGGGATATGTCCCCCCAAAGCAGTGTCCCCCCAGGGCTTCATCCCCAGAGAACTATGTCCTACAGAGCTGTGTCCCCAGAGGGCTGTGTCCTCTGAAAGCTGTGCTCTTGAGGGCTCTCTGTATTTCTGGGCTTTCACGGGACTTGTATATGACACTGCCAAACTTGAAAAACAAATGCATTTTCCCATGGGCATGTCTTGAGCATTCTCACATTCTAAGTTTTGCTTTTACTTAGAGAATTACCTCAGTAGGAGGCATTAACTAATGATTAACTAGTTTCCTTCTGGCATTTTGAACTTCTGGAGCCTGAAAGAAAGTGGACGTGCAGTTTACCGGTGGTACATGGCCTTGCAGGGATTTCAGGGTGCAAGTGTCATTGAGAACTCTTGACCTTCTGCCCTGACTGTTAGTTGTGTGATCTTTGGCTTGGTGTTTAGTTCAAGGGAGTACTTTTTATCTTTCTGACCTACCTATGTTTGATGTGTTCTGGCTATCACTGTGACATTCCACTTAACCTCACTAGACCTTTGTCATCACCCGCATTACAAGCTTGTCGAGTGGACGAGGAGGTATGTGCAGAGCCCCACAGCACTCAGAGGTGTCTGCTGCACTTAGCTGTGGAAACATCCATTGCGTAAATCCTTAGCTCAAAACAAAAATGACTCTTCTTTCAAATTCTTTCATTGTCTGCATTGAAATTCTTACTGCATTATATGGTGTATATTGGAGTTCTGATCAACATATATTTTAAATGATATTTAGACAATTATTTTTAAATGTTTTTTTTTCATTTTCAGGTATCAGATTTGGTAATAATTTTGAATTATGACAGAGCAGTAGAAGCTTTTGCAAAAGGTGGTAACCTGACACTTGGAGGGAATTTCACTGTGGCAGTTGGGCCCCTGGGAAGGTGAGTCCTCAACATACTTTCTGAACAGCCGTTGGACAGTCATGGTTTAAAAACTATACCCAGTTTACAGGGCGCCTGGGTGGCTTAGTCGGTTGAGCGTCCGACTTTCGCTTAGGTCATGATCTCGCGGTTCGTGGGTTCGAGCCCCGCGTCGGGCTCTGTGCTGACTGCCAGCTCAGAGCCTGGAGCCTGTTTCAGTCTGTGACTCCCTCTCTCTCTGTCCCTCCCCTGCTCACGCTGTCTCTGTCTCTCTCCTAGAAATATATAAAACATTAAAAAATTAAAAATAAATAAATAAAAATAAAAACTATACACAGTTTTGTATTAAGAGGAACCTTGAATTGAAATGAAGCTGATCTATGATTTGTATATGTCCCAAAGGGTTTGAGGGTCTTTAGAAACAAGAAATACAAAACACAGTCAGTGTGACAAACTGAGAGAATTTAAAACTAGAACCCACAAAAGGAAACGAAGTATTTCAGAAATGCAGACTATCGTATCTACTGGAATCGAACACAAAATTTACCTTTAAGCTTTGAATGAGCCAGATCAAATTTAATTAAGTGATAAAGGGCAGCAATGACCAAGAAAGAAAAAAAAAAAACTTTTCTTCAAACTAAATAGTGAAAACTTGAAAATGATTCACTGGTGTGATGTTTACAGTACGTATGCTGCATTTTCCCTCTCTGTTAATGAACAACTATTCTTGGGTCAATTGAGCAAGTTAGAAATACTGAAATCTCAGACTGTTTACAGAAGTTAACACAGCACAATCATCTAAAAACATTTCTAAAGTCTATGAAAATAGTCAGTGTAAAAAGAATCCACAGTCTTTAGTACTCTTGAAATGTACGTTCCTGTTTTAAGAAAGAAGGACAAAGTTGGTAAATACCAGCTTTCTATGAAATCTGTACAATGCAGTCCTCCGTATTCACCCATCACTTTATGACATGTCCTTCCCCATGCCCTGTCCTTGCCCTAGACCACTTTAAACACATCTAGCTCAGGCTGACAGGGAGTAAGACATAAAAACAAGTGACGTAAGTACGACAATATCACTCTGCAGTGAGAAAGGTAGTGCTGCTCCGATAGCCGTCTCACGCTCTGGTCTCTGCTGCAAACCCTCTATTTCACAGGAATTTAGAAGGAAATGTTGCCCTGCGGAGCTCAGCTGCTGTCTTTACGTACTGCAAGTCCAGAGGACTCTTTGCCGGAGTGTCGTTAGAAGGCAGTTGTTTGATTGAAAGGAAAGAAACTAATCGAAAGTAAGTGCAAGCCAAATAATTTTGATTTGAGGAAAGTGTGATGAGAAAAACAACACATCGGAGACTCACAGCTCTGTAGGGTTTACAGAGTGGTTGTGTGTATTCTTTGTTCAGAGCATAGTTTAAGAATATACAACATTTGACTGTGTATTTCTTTATTTAAAGATTCAATATAAAGCAATATGTACTTAGAGAAAATCTAGAAAGCACAACAAAAATTACAAGGAAGGAAAAAAAAACATTCTACCCCTTTGAGATTAACATTATTCACGGTTTGTTTTATTGCCCTACAACGTTTTCTTAAGCATAGTTTCCCTTGTTTTGCCACATATGATTGTAATCAGAATAGATCCAATTGTAAATGCTTTTTTTCCACCTAGCACTGCAAGAATCATAAGTGTAAGTTAATGACTATGTAATATTGTATTCATTGGCTATATCATATTAAGTATACTTTTCAATCATCTGTCAAGGGACCTAACGGTTACAACCTGTAGGTTAATCAAAATACTCCTCATTATGAGAGGCTATTCTTACACTCTGCCTTCGTTCTTTCTTCCATAAAATAAAGATCAATTTTGATATTTTAAAAATGGATTTAGAAGTATTTTAACAGGTGAAGAAGAACTTGTACTTTAAACTGGCATCTGGCTAAGTTTTCCCCAAACGCTTCTCTACATTTCCACTAAAATATGTCTGGCTGCTCAGAGAAGGATAAATGTTGACTGACAGAGAAACTTCTTTCAGAACGTGGCAGGCAGAGATCCCACCAGTTGCGGGCCTGGCAGGAGCCAGCAGTAGAGTGGTTACGGCAGAGCCCCCCCCCCCCCAACCTCACCTGCCTGCTTTCCAGGGAAAATCTATACAAAATTTACTGTGCCAGTTCATGTGAGAGTCCGTTAGCACACTGGGGCACCTGGGGAGCTCAGTCAGGTGAGGGACTGACTTCAGTTCAGGTCATGATCTCGCAGTCTGTGGGTTCGAGCCTCATGTTGGGCTCTGTGCTCACAGCTCAGAGCCTGGAGTCTGCTTTGAAGTCTGTCTCCCCCTCTCTCTCTGCCCCTCCCCCACTTGCATTCTGTCTCTCTCTCAAAAAATAAATAAACATTAAAAAAATTGTTTAAGAAGTGCCTGGGTGGCTCAGCCAGTTAAGCGTCCAACTTTGGCTCAGGTCATGATCTCACAGTTGGTGAGTTCAAGCCCCTCATCAGGCTCTGTGCTGACAGCTCAGAGTCTGGGGCCTGTTTCAGATTCTGTATCTCCCTCTCTCTTTGCCCCTCCCCTGCTCACACTCTCTCTCTTTACCTCTCTCTTTCTCTCTCAAAAATATAAATTAAAAAAAATTTTTTTAACTTTAGAGTTCATTAGCAAATATGACAGTATTCAGTGCAAGCCACAGAAACTAGAAAATGGGAGGAGTGGAGAAAAATATTTGCAGAGCTCTGTGTCTTATAAAGCCAAGAAAGATGTTTTTATTTCTCATTTTATTAGTTTGAGAAATTTAGTGAAGCATTCTTTTAGAAACTTCTGATTTGAGGCCTTTGGAAGACTTCCTCACTAAAGTTCGTGTAAGTTCTGGATAAACTAAAAGAAATATACTTCTTAATTAATTGCAGGGCTTCTAAACATTTAAGGCAAATCTTTATATAGTTTTGATACAAATAAACATTTTTAAAGAACTTACAAAGCTTTATTTGTTGGCCCCAGTTTTGTAACTTAAAAAATAAAACCTGTAAAACTGTAGGTGCTTGTAAGTGTAGGTATATTTGCATATGTATGTTTATATAGATATGTTTGTATGTATATGTGTTTGCATCTGTGATTTGATTTATATTATTGGAGAAAGGATATGCGTGTCAGACTATTTATAGTGATTGGCTCTAGAAATGATCTTGGGGGAATGAACTTAGGGGCATAACATGGGTTCTAGCTTGTGCTTAGTGTTGGGAAAATAGTATATATGAAGTACTAGAAGAGTATATCCCCACACACAGGTATGTGTCCTACTTTTAACTCTAGGAAAGATCCTTGTCTATAAATGTTCTTAATTTGATATTTCTTATTAGATTTTATTGTCAAGACATCCGAGCTTATGACATTTTATTTGGAGATCTACCACGGCCTCCTCAAGCAGAAGATCTTTATGAAATTCTTGATTCCTTTACTGAAAAGTATGAAAATGAAGGACAACGAATCAATGCAAGAAAAGCAGCAAAGGAACTGAGAAAGTCTGCTGTAATGCATGGTTTTTATGTTTCTCTTAGTTACAGGAAATTTCTTTATTTAGAGTATTCTGCCCTTGATATTAGGTTCCTAAGAACCAACTACACTTCCCTTATAATTTCATTTATGTAAAGTGCTTGTGAAAATGTTATACAACTTTGATGTATCATCTATACACATTTCAAGGAGAAACATAGTTTTTCCCCCCAATTGCCTCTCTCCAAGTGTGGGACTTTGCGCGACCTCGCCGTAGTGCTGACGGTGCTGCTGACGCTGAGGGCTTGGAGCATCAAGCAGTGTGCACACCAAGTTCCATGACTCCCTTCCGGATCTGCTTGACCCCCATCACAGGGCTTGAAAGCTGACATGGGGGTGGGGGAGCCCAAGTTGTCCCTGCCCTCCCAGTGACTGCTGAGCTGGTCACCAAGCGGCTGCGTAGGTTGTCAGGTGTGCCTGGATGAGGCAAGCTGCGGGTACAGAAGGGCACCCACTGTCAACCTCTGAATGTGGCATCCATTTCAACTGAATGTGGCCTGGAGCACTACATGTGCACATGTAGGCCACTTCGTTAATGAGTGCATAGGATAAAATATGCCACATATGCGTTCTAGAAGAAAAAAGCCTTATGTGCTCCATGATAATAAAGTATTTTAAAATTATGTGCATTTTTTTGTTCCTCCCAGGCTAAAGAATTACCTCCAAAACCATTGTCAAGGCCACAGCCGACGTCTGTGCAAGTCCTGCCGAACTCTGGCTCCCAAAGTAAATATTTTTGTCGTAATTCAAATATAATTATAATTAGTAATTATTAAATATTACTGTTAAGAAATCAACATTGTTAAACTTTAGTATCAAATGGAAGAACTAATGGGTGTTGAGGAGAAAATAAATGCTCAGACTCTTCTAACTACAAAGAAATTCTCATTGCTGTGATTTGTGAAAACTCATTCAGAAGATGCTTTCTCAAATTTACAAAGATTTATCTTTAAAGTTTTTCTCATTTATTTTATTTGTCATTTCTTTCAAAGACTGCTATCCTGCTGATTTGAAATGGGAACTAAATGAGCCTATTTCTCCTGTATACTCATAGATTTATTTTCTGAATATTAAGTTCACCGTATATTCTTGGGAGCTCAGGATTTCAGAAGGCTGGTTTTAAAATAGACTAAGTTTATAAAGCACCCGGTCTTGGACTCTCCCCCTCTTTCCACTACTTATTTGTATGACAGTCACTCTTGGAATCCTGCTATTTAGGCACAGAGGATATCAGTACAGGGCAATATACTAAAGTAGGTGAGGCTTCATAGAATGATCCACTGTTATTCAAGAGCATTTTGCTGTGGCTTTTACGATTACAAAGACAAGTCTAACTTATATCCTGTCCTTGAAGAATTTCAGTCTAGGACAGGAGATATCACACATGGATAAATAACTGCCATCACTGGAAGGAAGCGTGTGACAAGCTCTGGGAGGAGTAGAAGTATCAAAGTGCTCTAGAGGGCAGGAGAATGGTCCCCTCCTTCATGCTCTGGGTCTGCCGCCCCCTTCGCTTGGGCACCCACTAGCAATCACAGCCCTCACATCGGCTCCTGGCCACGCCGTTAGCTTGCCTAAATGTACCCTCCCAGGAACTGGACCTGTCCTTTATTACCCACTCTTACCGTAACTTAGCTGTGCCTTTGTCTCCTGGGGTGCTGTATTCTTCTTTCAATAGGGACGGTCTATTTCTGATTCATGTTCAGGTGATTAATTTGAATACACTCATATTTCCAGTGACTAACAAGATGTGGGCACTGAAATCTATTTTTATTTTAAATCTGAGTGATTACATAAAATTTGACCTGTGTGCATGTTTTAGAATACATAATGTTTCTGAAGTTTCCTTACTAGGAAAATACATATCTGTATGATGCATGTATAAAAATCTTATGGGGGCCCCTGGGTGGTTCAGTCAGTTAAGCATCTGACTCTTGATTTCGGCTCAGGTCATGATCTCACTGTTTGTGGGTTCAAGCCCTGTGTTAAACTCTGTACTGACAGGGCAGAGCCTGCTTGGGCTTCTTTCTGTCTCCTCTGTCTCCTCTGTCTCTACCCCTTCCCTGCGCTCCCTTGCTCTCTCTCTCTCTCTCTCAAAAATAAATAATTAAACATTTAAAAAATTAAACCTTGGAGCACCTGGGTGGCTCGCTTGGTTAAGCATCTGACTCTTGGTTTTGGCTCAGGTCATGATCTCACAGTTGTTGAGTTCAAGCCCTGCATCAGGCTACGCACTGATAGCATGGAGCCTACTTGGGATTCTCTCTCTCCTTCTCTCTGCCACTCCTCTTCTCATGCTGTCACTCATAAAGAAATAAAAATTTTAAAAAATTAAAAAATTAAATCTGACCTATCCCTAAATTTTTTTAAGAATAGAATCTTAATTTTTAATTATGTATCTTCACATATATAGTTTTCTATAAATGCATATATGTGGTTTTTAATGCAGTATTTCCCTCTTCTTTTATGAGTTGCTTCCTTTTCCCCATTTCCCCTCTTAATTTGTACGGCACCCTCTCCTGTACTCACTCCAGGAAATCTATGTTGACAACATGCAGTGTAGACACCTGTATTCTTCTCCATGTATATTTTTCTATCATAGTCCTATTCACAGGCACATGTATAAGAACATGTATACACATGGAAAGAATATTTTGTTGTCTTGTACAAATGCTGACATATTATACATGTTTTACTTTATCTTGCTTGTGGGTTTTATTTATTTTGCTGAAAAACACCTCATGGAAATCCCTGAGTCAACTGCTAAGGTTCTAATTAATTCTTTTTAATGGCTTTTAATATTCCATGGGACAAAAAACATATTATTCAGCTGCTGTCCTACTGATAGGTATTAGCATTACTTCAGAATTTTTTCCAGGCCAACCAGCTCTACCATTTACATCTTTGTAAATTTTTGTGTCTACATATTGGCACTTTATTTGTTTGTTTGTTCGTTCATTCATTCAATTTTTTTTTTTTTTTTTTATTTACGGGGATACTTACCAGGAATGGATATAGTAGGTCAAAAGACATATTATTAAATTTTAACATATTAGCTAGATTGTTTTTCACTTGAAAAACTGCTACTTCACAACCTTATCAGCCATTTCCCACTGTAATGCTTCTCATGTATACACTCTACTATGCACACTCGCCACATCTACACTTCCCACCATGCACACTTCCCACATATAGAGTTCCCACCATGCACGCTCCCCACATATACAATTCCCACCATGCACACTCCCCACCATATATACTTCCCACCATGCACACTCCCCACATGTACACTTCCCAGCATGCACACTCCCCGTATATACACTTCCCACCATGCACACTTCCCACATATACAGTTCCCACCATGCACACTCCCCACCATATACACTTCCCAGCATGCACACTCTACACATATACACTTCCCACCATGCACACTTCCCACCATATACACTTCCCACCATGCACACTCCCCACCATATACACTTCCCAGCACACACACTCCCCACCATATACACTTCCCAGCACACACACTCCCCACATACACATTTCCCACCACGGACATATATGTTCCCATCATGCACATTTCCCATCATGCACATTCCCTACCGTATATATTCCCCACTGTATACAGTTGTCAGGACATATACTGCCCACCATAAGCACTCTCCCACTGTAGCTTTCTCCATCATATATATTCCTCACCACTGTTAGTGTTAGAGTATTTGCATGTCTGAGGGTTGGTTATACCTCTTTATTAATTGGATTGTATTGCCCCTGTCAGTTAGTGATTTTAAGATTTCTTCATATAATTGCTGGTGTTTTGGATTGAACCTTTTCTGAAAAGTCTCTTCATTTCATTGGTCCATTTTTTCTATTGGAGTATTTGTTCCCTTTTCCATTTGTAGAAGCACTTTGTATATTGAGGACTTTATCATTTGGGCTATAGTTTTTTTCTACATGTATCATTTGTCTGTTGGTCTTGTTTTTCATACAGAGTTAGCCTCCTTCCCCTTATCAATGAGGGATGTGTTCTATGATGGCAGTAGATGCCTGAAACCATGGATAGTACTGAACCTTATATAAACTATGTTTTTTTCCTATACATACATACCTATGATAAAGTTTAATTTATAAATTAGGCACAGTGAGAGATTAGCAATAATAAAAAAATAATAAAAGAAAAATTACAATGACATACTATAATAAAGTCATATGAATGTGGTTTTTCTGTCTCTTAAAATATCTTGTACTGTACTCCCCTGTCTTGTGATGACGTGAGATGATGAAATGCCCACATGAGATTAAGTCAGGTGAGTGACACAGTTGTTGTGATGTAGCATTAGGCTTCTACTGACCTGATGATAAATCAGAAGGAGGATCAGCCACTTTTGGGTTGCGGCTAACTACAGATAATTGTGAAACAGCAAAACTGTGGATAAGGGTGTCTACAGTATGCAATATACAATTCCAAATAATACTCTGTACTTACAGTAATTCCATGACTGGGGAGAGTAATTACAATAACATGTATACTCATTGATTTTGCAGTTTTATGTTAATCTTTCCTTTTTATACTTTCCATTTGCTGAGGCATTTTTCTGCCATTTCTAGGATTTCATAGTGTCTGTGCCTTTCCTGTTAAATTCATTCCTAAGTACTTTATAATTTTGGTTTGCTGTGGTGAATGGAATGTACTTTCCCATTTCTGTTTTGGAGTGCTTATTTTTATGTTGAGAAAGTCTTAATTTGCATGTATTTTGTCCTATATCTGATCACTACCCAAACTCTCTTATTTCTAGTCAGTTTTTAAAATTAGATTCTTTTGGAATATTTATACCCTTTTCCCCATGCTGCCAATGTTTATTTCTATATTCTTATGTCATAAACTTCTTAGGCCAGAGCCTTCATACTGGTGTGCTTGTATCCTTAGAGGGTACCTGGTGCTGCCTAGGGTGTGTGAGCACAGTGTAGGAGACACAATCTCCAGCTCCCAGACTCATTCTTTCTGAAAGCCATTTCCGCTCACAACAGGACATGCAGGCTATCCGCCGTTTCTAGCCTTCCTGATGTTCCTTTTTTCCCTACTGGAGTAAGAAAAGTCATCCAAATCATACTATGCTACATTGTCTCCAATATGTAAGAATGGTGATCTAATTTGAATTCTAGATACTGAGGTGGTTAATGACTCTAATAAGTAGCAAGGGCCATGGTTTTGCAGACCCGGTGATTTCCGTTTCTCTGCTTTCCACAAACTGAAGTGGGACGAAGGGATTGTCATATTAGCTTATGTAACAATAGTAATTAATATTACCATTATATATTGCTTATTTTAAGAATCACATAGCTATCTATCACCCAAACAAAGTTATAAAAGTAGTATTTTTGTTTTATAAATATTTTATTTTTATTTATAGATAACCATGTGATTTTTTGACCTCTCTCTCAAAAGAAATATGAAATAATTTTACATATTTACATTGCTGTAAAATATACACTCCTAGCCTTTCTTGTTGTTGTAAGAACCAGCCTTTATATAACACCTGTATATTTAAAAAGGAATATTAAAATATAAGTTGATGTTGAACCTCTGTCATTCTGGAAATAAGAAATGGTCATCCTGTTTATTTGAGCTAAAAGTCTTATCCATCTACTGAGATGTATTTCAAATAAAAATTTACTTTCATGTTTAGTAAGGTAAATTTATAGTATATTTAAGAGTTTGGTCAATTGTGTACCAGTAATTATTACAATAATAACTTGATCTATAAGAAATTATTTAATAGAACCTTGTGCTTACTTCAAATAAAATTAAAAAAATAAATTTCTGTGCAAATTTTTGTTGTAGAAACTGTTACATAAAAATATAATACTAATATATTAGTATAAAATCTGTGGGACAAAGGGAATGGAAACAGGACCCGAAGGTTAAAATGAACATTACATAATTTCTGACTATCTGCAAAATCTTGGTGCACCTGGGTGGCTCAGTCAATCACTGAGCTCTTAATATTGGCTCAGGTCTTGATCTCATGCTTTGTGAGATCAAGCTCACATTGGGCTCTGTGTGACAGTGTGAAGCTGCTTAGGATTCTGTGTCTCCCTCTCTCTCTGCTCCTCCCCCACTTGTGCTTGTACGCTCTCTCTCTCTCTTTCTCTCTCTCTCTCAAAATAAATAAAATTTTTAAAAAGATTATTTTAAACTCATGATGGTGAGCATAGATATAATATTAATGATTCCTATTTATACTATGATTTAGATTCTGTTATCCCTAAAGGAGAGATATAATTATTTAATTTAAATAAGTGATATTGAAATATACTACAAGGTATGCCCATTACAACTTTTTGTCTTATACCGAACAATTTTAGGTGTTAATTAAAAAAATATGCAAGTGAATACATGTTGTTTAAAAATTATTTGAGGAGTCAAGCAAACAAGAATGTTTGAAAATCACTGGTTTGGGAATTACAAACTTTTTTGAATTTGGGTATTTTATGATTGCTCTGGAAAAAAGATGTATGTGCATTTTCTGTGAACGTATACTTCCAAGGTCGTGAGTTGTAGTGCTTCTTACTTGTGCATATCACATATTTACCCTCTGCCTATGTTTGGTGTATTCTCTGGGTTTATTCAGACATTCTTCTTGATTTAAAGTGTGATAAAATAATGATAGTTCTATCAATCTGAGCGATTTAAAGTATTTGCTTCACAAGGGCAAGACTTGGCATTCTTGGCTATTTTACATATACTAATATTTTATGTTATATATATATGTATATTTTGTGTATGCTAATAAGGTTTCTAAATGTTCCTTTTTTAAATTTTTTTTTTTTGTGTGTGTGCAGGTAACGGAAATAAATATAAGCTGTACCCTGAACTTCCCAACTATCAGGAGAGAGTTGGTAAATGAAATATCTATATGTTAATAAGGATTCACTTTCTAATTAATCTGGTGGGTTATAAAAATCTCTGAGAAGGTGTTCATCACTTCTTCTTTGATTTATAGGATATGCACATTATTTTGAAAAGTACCTCATTTAAAAAATGCTATGCTTTTGCTCCTTATTTGCTTGTAATCTGAGATAAGCAGAGCGATGGGGGAACCCTAGGAGGGACAGTCACCTGGTAAGAAGTGCCTGGGCTCAGGACGAAGTAGTCTGACTCTGGGGCCCATGGGCTTGTCGGAGACTGAACCATAGGACCTTGTAACACCTTGTTGGGGCAGAATGACAATATTCGCTCATTATGAATTACAGCTTCATCATCATCACATTTTCTCTGGGTTTTAGCTCCATGAATATATTTATATTTTTAAGGATTTAAAAAATTTTTCATGTTCAGCTATTTTGCCATTATTGGGAATTGTGCCAGAGTCCAGCTCCAGCCAGTCCAGGGGTCCCCGAAGGATGGACGGTGTTGGCGAAGAGAGGGATGAGAGAGGCCCCGAGATGCTTTCTGGTCACCAGGCAGCATCTCTGCACTGACTGAGACTTAGCTTTATTTATGTTTAAGTGTATGGGGAACAGCACAGAAGTGGCACTTGCCTTAGACAATAATTTTTGATGACAAATTTCTTTGATATGTAAAAATTTCCTAGAACATAGATTTGTAGAAGACTCATGCATAACCTGTATCAATAGTGATTGATGTAGGTGATTTAGATGCTTATCATATGGGGAAGGAAGATATCTTTAGCATTCAAATACAAGACAATGTTTTTAGGATAGCAAGGGCAAAGTTAGTTCATTGTGAGCAGGGGTCAATAGCCTGTTTGCTTAAGGGGAAAAAAAAAGGATTCTCAGGAAGCACAATGTCTGCTCCCATAATCACAAAAGAAGAAATTCCTACAAAACGTTCCTTCACAAGGTGCAATCAGCATATCAGGGCCAGAATAAGTTACTCCAAATACCAATCAACAAGGTGCTTAGGGGTTGGTACTCTAGCAGAAACAATTAAGTGGGGATGGATATCGGTCATCATTTGACAGCAGGAGGCCTTGCAAACCTGCCTTAACCTCACAAAGAGTTTTCTCAACTAGTGAGTTCAGAATGGCTCCCAACAGAACTGCTTCATAAAACTTATTAGGATTTGCTGTGATAAAAATAGTCCCTCAATCTGTCTTACTTTAATCTTCTTTAGAAAATGTTCTTTGAAAGAAGCAAGCAATTATTTAGAAATGTGAACAGGACACAAAGTGAAGGCAAAGGTTAACCCGTTGTAAAATAGCCTATTTATTGTTCACATCATCTTGTGTCACTGCCATCACAGACCCATACACTCCTGGATAACTAAGCCACCTGGGCATTACCTGCGTAGTGTAAACAGAATGTCAAGGTAACTAAGTACCCATTTAAAAAATAATTACAAAGATATTTCAAAAATGTCTCTTAAGCAGAGTTCCTTGAACAGAAGTCAACCTTTTGCTGCTAGATTAGGGTTTCTGACTTTCCCCTTTCTTTCAGCCTGGTTTTGGTTGTTTGGGGCCCACTTCTGGCCATCCTTCCTCACGTGACTCCCTTCAGGGAGCCTGGGTCTACAGGTAGAGTCCTGTGTTCAGAGCCAGTCTGATGACGTGGGCTTACCTATGGGAGAATGCTCTGCTGTGGTCTCAGGCATAGTGAAAAAGCTCTGACAGGTTTTAAAAAATTTATTTTGTTCTTGTAAATGTGATTTATAGCCATGGTAGAGATGACTGAGATTGTCAAAATTTGACCTTTGGATACGGTCCTTCAGAAGCAAAAGTGGTCAACATATGATGTTTATACCCAAGTATCATAAACGCCTAAAATTTTATATTGTGCTCTTTTACTTTTAAAGACTCTGTTAGAATTAGACTCATACTTACGTACCTTGCAATTAAAGGGGTTCTTACAGTTGAGGCCAACAGATGAGCCGAGTTGCTTAGGGCGGAGAGCCCAGCAGGGACGCTGAGAGCCAAGGGGCCCTGAGGCTGTAGACTCCCAGGAACGTTTAGTGAGGTGACAGTGCGGACTGTAGCCCCTTTTCTCAGGGATTGCTAGAGCAGGCGCCCACAGCCTAGGTTCCTAGCAAAAGCTAGAAATGCCCGCTACAAGGCACTGCAGGAAGTATTAAGCTATAAGAAACAAAATCCTGAGTGGGCTCTGAAGGAGACTCAGACTCAAAATCAATACTTTCATCACTAGCTGTGGGATCCAAGGCTCGTGTTACCTGCCCATGATTGGCTGGGTGGGTGGTTGGTGGGATTTTGTTTTTATATTTGAGGGTAGGATGAGTTAGGTTGTACAAACAGCAGGAACTAGGTTAATATTAATTTATTTTAGTCCTTACTCCAAATATAAGGGATTTTGAAGAAAAAAATGAAAGGGAAGATTTAAAGTCTATTTTTAAAATAAAACTTCCTTTACATTATTGTGGTTTTAAAAAGCAGCTGTAAAACCAGTTAAACTCTTCTCAAGGACTCTCTCACATCCCGGCAGAACATTCCTGCAGAGAAAAGTCATAATGCACGGGCCTGAGCTCAAGTTAAAACCCAGGACACCCAGGCCCCGGGGACGTGCTTAGCCTGTCCCATGCCCACTGACAAGCTACAGGTTTGCATGGGCCGTTGGGCACAGCAATAATTTCCAAGCTGCATGTACTTTTGTTTTGCACCTTTTGGAAGCCCACCTACATGGTACTTGGGCCTCTCACAGAGCCGGCCTCGACGGTCCACAGTCTGGTTTACTGAGCGTTTCCAAAACACTCTGTGCCCTTCGATGTCCGTATTCATTGCCTGCCTCTCACCCACCTGTAATTTTCAGTGACAGTCTGCGCACATCCATTGCGGGGGCCATCCCATGCTGCGTGGGTGTCAGGAGCACCCCTGCACTAAGTCCCTCATTGCCAGTAGCACCCTCTCCCTGGTTGTGACAACCACAAAAGCCCCAGACTTTACCTTTTGAGAACCGAGTGCCTGGTGACCTCACTAGTGGCCTTACCTGCCTCGCTCACATTGACCCTGCGAATTGACCCTGACTCTCCTCCAGAGACCAGGGTCCCCAAAGTGACAGACCCCACACCTGGCCTGGGGTGATGTGGGTGCGAAAGTTAAATCAGCCATGCAATTCATCACTACGTTACATGTGTAACAAAACCAAAGATGTGTTCTCTTACTTCTGTTTGCCTTGAAATGGGCCTTCGGAAGGCTGAGATTGCTCTCCTGAGTCATGGCTGGGGCCAGATGTCTTGGCTACATATGGGTTACATTATGAAGACTCCATGGAGTAAAGTCCTGTAAACCTGCTCTTGCTAATTAGGAGCCTCAGGGCAACTGCCAATCACTAAAGCCGATTGTGATCTGTTTCCTGGTAAGTGCAGTTCTGATTTGGGAGAGAAAAATAACCTGTATTAGAATTAAACTTGAATATTATGATGAAAATGACTAATTGCTTCAAAGAGCATCCATATTTTTTAAACACAGGAATATAAAACTTGAAGGCATATAACTCAGAAGGGAATGCATCTGTGAATTCCAGATATTTTAGCAACCAGTGGGGTCTGTTTCCTTTTTTCCTTTTTCTTCTAAAATATATTTAAGGGAGTGTAAGCTAGGAAGGGGCAGAGAGAGGGGTACATAGGATCTGAAGTGGGCTCTGCGCTGACAGCAGTGAGCCCCATATGGGGGTTTGAACTCATGAACCATGAGATCAGGACCTGAGCCGAAGCCAGACTCTTAACCGACTAAGCCACCCAGGTGCCCAGTGGGGTCTGTTTGCATGGTCCTCAGGAGGCTCTCCCTTTCTGGAAGGACATACGTCCTTTCAGAGAAAAGGTTCACCTGTTTTTAAAATAAATTATTTTGTGGGCATTAAAATTTTCCTTATGGAAATTATCCCTAACATATACACTAAAGACAAACTTTAAGTCATTTTGATTGAAGAAAAAATGAACAGTAGGTTATGGCATTGAATGGCCTGTGGACTGTCACCTCAGGGAGCACCTGCCTCCCCACCCCTCCCCGCCTCCCAGCCATCTTGAACACCCTATGTTTGCATGTGGAGGAATTTTCCCAGCAACTGCTTAAACTGCTGACCCTTCTATGACATACCATGTCTGCCTATCTAGGCCACATTCTCCTCTAGATTTACCAGCAATGGTCCCCCCACTGTTGAATATCAACCTCCTCAACCCCCCTGGCACTTCCTTATTCTCTGCTGCATCTCAGAACACTGCTTTGCCCTTTACCCCCACGTAAGAGCATTCCCATACATTCTCTCGTACACCTGTTCCCACCACCACTTTGTCCTCAGTTCTTTTGGAAACTGCAATTCCGAGGAGACTGGACAACACCTGAATGAGGGGGCAGGGATTGAACTAAGTCTGCGATGCTCTTTTTCATTTAATTTATGATATCTCTCTTCTCTAATTATTCATCGTGAAATATTTTCCTAAGACTGGTAAAAACCAGTTCTGTTATCAGTGATTACCCAGGATCATCATCCAACATTATTATTATTTGTAGAGTCCTGATAACTCAGTGATGCAGAAAAATATGCTAATTATTCTTGAAAATTTGCCTAACATAAGTAAAATACTCTGATAAATCCAAGTTCAGTCTGTTGAAAACAATTTAATATTTTGTGGCTGAGTACCCTGGGGTATGATGTCAATGGTGATTATGAGTACCTGGGGACAAATTGCCTAACACCTTGCACCTCAGTCTAATGTTCTGTAAAGTGGGGATGCCAGTGGCTGCCTCGCTGGAGATGAGGGCCTAGTGGAGCACATGTCCTATGCCGTTACGGTCCCTGACTCAGTGAACAGGAGCCGCTCTTAAGATTTACTCAAAGCTGACACCTGTTACCGCTATGATCACCTTTTGATGCATTTCTACTTTTGTACCTAGTGCTACAAACACACACATGTATGGCTGCTTAGATGGCTATGACTTCCAGAACATTCCCTGATATTTACTAGCACTCTTTTTGCTTGCTTCTGTGTGTTATCCAATGTGTCTGGGAGGCAGGAGAAAGGAGTTACTTGAGGGTTTCATTAATTAAGTTTGGTTAATAGAGGTTGAGCTTTATGTGTGGAGATGATAAACATAATTATTGATAAGAAACTGATTTTCAGAATGATTTTTTTTCCCCAACATTAACCAATATTCCTCTGATCTAATGACGAAGAGGCCTGACACAAGGACTTGCTGTGTGTCCCACATCCATGAAGCCTTTCAGTCACTTGTCACATACACGGCAACAACGGCTCGCTCACCCATGTGGCTTTGAGGATATTCAGGCTATATGACCATTTTACTCCTCTGTGACATACTTTTACCCTTCTTCCTTAAAGTGCACAGACGAAGTATAAAATATAAAAATATGCAGAGCATGTCTGTATTATAGAAAAAACCCATTATACCAGTAATACCTCTAATGTGATTATATTAGTTGTTATTAGGATTATTTCTCTGGGAAAACTCAAAGAACCACATGGAACGTGCTTTATGGGAAGAACTGTAGCACCATCTTGTGTGAACTACAAATTCAGTGTTTCAGTCAATGTGGTTTAATTAAAGTGCTGATTATTTTTATTTCTTACTGACAGGCCAAATTCGGTTTTTTATTATAATATTATAGGTTGAAATAAGTAACTGGTTTTTAGTATTTGGTTATGTTTTCAGTGTATCTGTACTAAGATGCATTTGGCAAGCATCTAATTGCCTAACATGTGCACAAAATATTGAAATAGAGATATGAAATTCCAGGGGCGCCTGGGTGGCTCAGTTGGTTAAGCCTCCGACTTCGGCTCAGGTCATGATCTCGCAGTTCATGGGTTCAAGCCCTGCATTGGGCTCTGTGCTGACAGCTCAAAGCCTGGAGCCTGTTTCAGATTCTGTATCTCCCTCTCTCTCCGACCCTCCCCTGCTCATACTGTCTCTCCTCTCTGTCTCTCAGAAATAAATAAAACATTAAAAATTTTTTTAAAAAATATGAAATTCCAAGTAGCTGAGTACCCAGAAAGTATGTTTCTTTTTATTTTTTATGATGCTATACAGTTTATAATACTTAATATATTTTACTCATATTAACTCCTCAATCCTCAAGGTTTTTTTCCTAACGCACAAAAAACTCTACACCTTGTGTTGAAACTCTTGTGCATATGCAGACATACTTTTTGCTATGCTATTGAGTTTATCTGTTTTGAGAGAAAGGATAAAGGAAGCACAGAAATGAAGACAGCTATGAAGCCGATGGGAAAAATGTGATGAATTAGCAAAATGCATCTCAGCTGGAACCCTCAAAGCCAAAGGCTACAGAGCATGAGTTTTCTTTTTAAAATTATATTTTATTTTATTTTTCATCATGATAAGTGTACTCTTTACTCTCTGTCTCCTGTTGCCGCTATCCCTCTACCCACATCTGCTCTGGTTACCATAAGCTTTTCTCTCTAGTTAAGAGTCTGTTTCTTGGTTCTCCCTCTCTCTCTGTTTCTGTCTCTCTCCTTTCTTCCTTTGCCTGTTTGCTTTGATTCTTAAATTCCACATATGAGTGACATCATATGTATTTGTCTTTCTCTGACTTATTTAGCTTAGTATTCTTTAGCTCTATCCTAGAGCACGGTTTTTCAATTAAATCTTTTATGATACAATCATGAACATAAATGTGTTTTTCTCTAAAAGCTATAATTCACGGAAGTCATAATGGCTGCTCTATTAAAAGGCGGAAATGTGAGCATCTGGGTGGCTCATTTGGTTAAGCAACTGACTCTTGACTCTGGCTCAGGTCATGATTCCAGGGTTGTGGGATCGAACCCTGCTTGGGATTCTCTCTCTCTCTCCCTCTCTCCCCCTCTTCCTCTTCTTCTCCTTCTGTCCCTATCTCCCCCTCTCTAAAACAAAAAAAAAAAGTAAAATAAAAGGGAGAAAATGTAAATTCAGTTGACCTTTGAATGATGTAGGGTGGGGAGTTAGGGGGACCAAGGCCCGTATAGTTGAAAATCCACATAAAACTTTTGACTTCCCCAAAACTTAACTATTGATAGCCTATCATTGACCAGAAGCCTTACCAAAAGCATACATAGTAGATTAACATATATTTTGTATGTTATAAGTATATTGTGTATTCTTATAATAAATTTACTAAGCTACATAAAAGAAAATGTTATTAAGAAAGCAAGGAAAATACATTTACATTTTTGTTTATCAAAAAGTCCACGTCAGCGCACCTGTGCAGTTCAAACCCGTGTTGTTCTGTGGCCAGCTCGTGGTGTTATCTTACAGATTATTCAAAATTCAAACACTTACAACCGCAAATATCTGCTAAATACATAGTTAAGTATACAATAACATACAGTTTGGCTTGTGTGGATGTAGGAAATGTTATTACCAAATATTTGCTCTTTTCAAAGAAAAAAAACGTTAGTAATGTGAAAATCACACAGACCACGTGCTGTGGATTCTGCCAGGCTCTAAAGCATCAGAATATCAAGCCCTAAAACCTTAATTTATATCTTAGATACACACTCTTCTCAGATTTTCCCATTAAAAATGTGAATAATTTTTTTAAATATTTTTATTTATTTCTAGGAGAGAGAGAGAGAGAGAGAGAGAGAGACAGCGTGAGCAGGGGGAGGGTCAGAGAGAGAGAGGGAGATACAGACTCTGAAGTAGGCTCCAGGCTCTGAGCTGGCAGTCAGCACAGAGCCCGACGCGGGGCTCGAACCCACGAACAGCGAGATCACGACCTTAGTCGCCAACCGACTAAGCCACCCAGGCGCCCCCAAAATGTGAATAATTTAAATACCTTTGCTTGTTTGTTTGTTTTAGGCAATTTGGATCAACCCATAGAAGTGACAGCACTATATCCTTTTGAAGGACAACAGCCCGGGGATTTGAATTTTCAAGCTGGAGACAGAATCACAGTTATATCAAAAACCGATTCTCATTTTGATTGGTGGGAAGGAGAGCTTCGAGGTCAAACTGGCATTTTTCCAGCCAACTATGTTACCATGAATTAAAGTTTATATTGTTTTCTTCTTTGAGAATTACAAAACATTTATTTCTACACTGATAGGATTTACTATCCAGTTAAGCAATGTTTAATATAAGTTTAAAAATACTTCTCTTTATTCCATAAACTTTTATTCAGCATATAAAAGATTATTTTCTCTATATCAATAAGTGGTTGACTTACATATCTTTAAATACTTTGTACTAATTTTTATCACATATACTATTTAATAGTTAATATCATCCAATTCATCTGATCACAGCCCTTTAGTTATAATTATCAAACATCACTAAACATATGGGCAGCTAAGTATATGGTAAGTGCCTATTGTAATTTGAGAATCTCAAGGGTAGGGGCATGAATACCAGTTCATGTATTTCTGTTTCCAAAGTGACCAGAGAAGAAGAAATCAGATTAACGAGGGTATTAAGTAATCCTTCTAGTTGTAGGTATGAACTAGATATATGAATCCTTTAAAATAATCTTTATTTCTTCAAAAATTGTGTATATGTGTATTGATAGCAGAAACCCGCTACTGCAAAGAAGTTCAGCTAGTCTGCATTCCACAAAGATGACGTTAACTTTTCTTCTGTATGAGGTTCTGTGCATTTCTAGAAGAAGAACCAACTTAAGGTTGACACAGCCCAGTAATTCCAAAATAAATGGTTTTTAAACGATAAGGTAATGACTTGATTTCGCTTTCTTTACTTTCTCTGTGTAAAGTTAGAGTCCCTGAGGTTGGCCTGAAGGTTAAAACCCACCAGTGTGATTAACTGCCTAACTTGTTTTCTTTTTGGCTTTACTAATGTATACTTAACAAACACAATGATAAAATATTTAAAGCCTACAATGTGATGATACATATATATACATATACACCATGGAAGAGTTCCCAATGAGTTAATTAACACACTCATCATTTCACATCTTTTTTTGTTTGTTTGTTTTTGGTGAGAACACTGAAGTTGTACTCTCTTAGTACAATCCCAATTATTATAAATCCCAATATATATATATATCAATCAAATGATATATATATATCAATCAAACATGGTCGACATGCTGTACATTAAATCCCTGGAACTTACTCCTCCAATAGCTAGAAGTTTGTACCCTTTGACCAATATCTCTTAATTTCCTCACCTCCCAGCTCCTGGTAATCACCTCTGTACTCTCTGTTTCTATGAGTTTGGCTTTTTTAGATTCCCATAGAAATGAGATTATACAGTATTTGTCTTTTTCTGACTGATTTATTTCACTTAGTATAATGCCCTCAAGGCCCATCCATATTTTTCAAATTCCAGGATTTCCTTCTATATATATGTCTCACATTTTATTTATCCATTCAGCCACTAATAGACACTTAAGCTTTTCTATATTTAATAACGTGTCATCTGCAAACAGAAATAATTGTGTTTGTCCCTCTCCAATATGGCTGCCTTGTATTCATAACTGGAAGCCTTTATTTCTCACTCCCCTTCATGTCGTTTTATTTCTTGTTCTTGCCTAATTACACTTACAGGCCTTCCTGTAGTATGCTGAGTAGGAGTAGCAAGAGTGAGGATCCTCCTTTGTTCCAGATCCGAGGGGAAAGCATTTGGATCTTCACTGTTGAGTATATGTGTGCATGTTGTTTAATCGCCACATATTTTTTAATTTTCCAAGTTTTTTCTTGTGATTAATTTCTAGTTTTGTACCATTGTGTTCAGAAAAGATGCTTGATAAAATTTCAGTCTCTTGAAATTTATTAAGACTTGCTTCGTGGCTGACATGTGATCTGTCCCAGAGAATGTTGCATGCACACGTGAGCACAATGTGTATCCTGCTGCCGTAGGATGGAAGGTTCTGCATGTGTCTGTGGGTCCACCTGGTCTGATGTGTAGCCCAAGTCCAGGATTTCCTCACTGATTTTTATATCTAGGCGATCCACCCATTGTTGAAAGTGGGGGATTGGAGTCTCCACCTCCACCTCCCACATGGACTATGACTGTATTGCCGTCTATTTCTCCCTTTATGTCTGTCCATGTCTGCTTTATAGAAATCTTTTTTTTAAATTTTTATTTATTTTGAGAGAGAGAGAGAGAGAGAGAGAGAGAGACAAAGTGTGAGCAGGGGAGGGGCAGAGAGAAAAGGAGACACAGAATCCGAAGCAGGCTCCAGGCTCCATGCTATCAGCACAGAGCCCAAGGCGGGGCTAGAACTCACAAGCCGCAAGATCATGACCTGAGCCTAAGTCAGCCACTTAACTGACTGAGTCACCCAGGAGCCACAGCACACTGGTTTTTTAAAGTCCATTCAGTCACCTTATGTCTTTTGATTGATTTAGTCTATTTACATTTTAAATAATGTTTTAATGCTATAGATGTACTATTACCATTTTGTTCTTTGTTTTCTGGCCCTTTTGCAGTTCTTTTGTTTCTTTCTCTTCTTTTGCTCTCCTCTTTGTAAGTTGATGGTTTTCCATAATGGGTAGTATGTTTGGGTCCTTTATCTCTGTTTTTGTGTGTTTACTATAGGTTTTGTTCGCGGTTACCTCAAGATCTCCATAAAACATCTTAGAGTCACAACCATCCATTGTAAGCTGATAACAACTTTACTCTGAATGCACATCGAAGCTTTTTTACACCCCTCATTTTGTTTTTGATGTCACAATTTACATCTTTTTACATTGCATATCCATGACAAATTATTGTTTTAGTAGTTATTAATACTTTTGTCTTTTTTTATTTTTTATTTAAAAAATTTGTTTAACATTTATTCATTTTTGAGAGAGAGAGAGAGTGTTAGTGGGGGAGGAGCAGAGAGAGAGGGAGACACAGAGTCCGAAGCAGGCTCCAAGCTCTGAGCTGTCAGCACAGAGCCCGACGTGTTACTCGAACCCTCAAGTGGTGAGATCATGACCTGAGCCAAAGTTGGATGCTTAACCAACTGAGCCACCCAGGCGCCCCAATACTTTTGTCTTTTAATGCTTATACTAGAGTCATGAGATTTTCCCACCACCATTACAATATTAGAATATTCTGAATTTACCTATATATTTGCCTTTACCAGTGAGCTGTATTCTTTCATATGTTTTCCTGTTACTAATTAGTGCCCTCTCATTTCACCTTGAAGAACTCCCTTTAATATTTCCTGTTAGGCTGTTTTAGTGGTGATTAATTCCCTCAGCTTTTGTTTTCCTGGAAAGCTCTTTCTCTCTCCTTCAGTTCTGAAGGACAACTTTGCCAGATAGAGTATTCTTGGTTGGCAGGTGTTTTTTTTTTTTTTTAATTTTTTTATTTTTTTTTTAAATTTTTTTAATGTTTTATTTATTTCTAAGAGAGAGAGAGAGAGAGACAGCGTGAGCAGGGGAGGGTCAGAGAGAGAGGGGGTCACAGACTGAAACAGGCTCCAGGCTCTGAGCTGGCAGTCAGCACAGAGCCCAACGCGGGGCTCGAACCCATGAACCGCGAGATCATGACCTAAGCGAAAGTCAGACGCTTAACGGACTAAGCCACCCAGGCGCCCCATTGGCAGGTGTTTTTTGTTTGTTTGTTTGTGTGTTTGTTTTTCCTGCCAGCACCTTGAATATATCACCCTGAGAATGTCCTTCTGGCCTACAACATTTCTGGTACAAAATTCACTGATAGTCGGGTGTTTCCCTTCTACATAACAGGTTGCTTTTCTCTTACTGCTTTTAAGATTTTGTCCTTGTCTTTAATTTCTGGTGATTTAATCATAAAGTGTGGGACTCTTTAGATGCATCTTCTTTGGAACTCTGTGGATGTGTTTCTTTCCTCAGGTGAGGAAAGTTTTCAGCCACTATTATTTGAATAAGCATTCTGTCCCTTTTCCTCTGTCTCCTCCTGGACCCCTCTAATGCATTCATTGACCCACTTGATGATGGGCCATAAATCCTTAATCTTTCTTCACTCTTCATTCTTTTTTCTTTCTCCTCTTCTGACTGGATGAATTCCATTGCCCTGCTCTCAAGTTTGCTGATTCTTTCTTCTGCTTTATCTAGTCTGATATGAAACCCCTCTATTGAATTTCTGTTTGATTATTGTATTCTTTGATGAGGAGAACAAAGGCAAAAGAAATGTAGGTAAAATTAAATTTCCTTACAACTTGCAGCCCATTGAGAAATACCTGAGACAGGCAGAGTATAACATTTCTCAAAGAACTCATAACTGTCTTAATGTTAATGCCTTATTAGAAGCAAGAAGCAACCTTAGTACAACAATATCTAGAACTCTAGGATCCTGTTAAGTCTTTTTTAACATGAAAGCCCTTTGAAAACTTCCTCTGTCTCTACCCCACCACCTCAAAAGTCTGTAATCAGTCACTGCTCACAATCCCAGTGCAGCTCTTCTACCCCCGGGTCCTGTCCCTGTACTGTAATAAAAACACCATTTTGCACCAAAAATGTCTCAAGAATTCTTTCTTAACTACTCTCTCCTGAACTCCGCATCATATCATTCTTCAGCTCTGTGATATCTGCCTTGCACTTGTTTATATTTTCTATTTCTTTAAATTCCTACTTTGTTCACCATTGCTCTTCAAACCTCAGTGAGTATCTTTATAATTGATATTTTGAACTTTCTATTGGGTAATTCACAGATCTCTATTTTATTAAGTTTAGTTTCTGGAGACTTACCTTGTTCTTTTCTTTGGAATATATTCCCCTGATCCTTCATTTCCTCTGTCTCTGTGTTGGTTCCTGCACATTTGATCAAACAGCCCTCTCTCCCAGTCTTCATGGTCTTGTGTAGGAGTTGAACCTTGTTACCTGAGTGCCAGGTTGTCTGTCAAATCTCTGTGGTTGTCCAAGCTGCCCACTTGGCTCTTGTGGCTTTCCGTAGTTGAGAGTGTGCCGGGAACCACCAGTGTCCCAAAGAGGGAAGGTCCCAGTCAGCACCTAGATGCAGGCTGATTGGAAACCGGACCCTCAGGCTGCATTGAGAAAGCATATAGTTAAGTCCTTTCTATGTAGAAAGTGGCAGATGAACATTTTTTTTTTTAATTTTTATTTCTAGGATAGAGAGAGAGAGCATGAGCAGGGGAGGATCAGAGAGAGAGGGAGACACAGACTCTGAAATAGGCTCCAGGCTCTGAGCTGGCAGTCAGCACAGAGCCCGACGCGGGGCTCAGGCCCACGAACCGCGAGATCGTGACCCAAGCGAAAGTCGGACGCTTAACCGACTAAGCCACCCAGGTGCCCCCAGATGAACATTTTTACCTGCTCACTCTGCACTGAGCCTGGGAGTACAGTGAGGGATGGAGGACGCTCCTATGCCCATTTAGAAATTTTCCTGTGGGACTTGTGAATGCAAGCCCTGCTGGCTATCAGAGCTCGGTGGTTTGGGGGTCGATCCCTTGAATGGCAGCTTTAAAAGCTGGGGTGTCTGAACAGTCTCATTCCAGAGAGATGCTTAGTTTCATTATAGGAATGAACCAGAGGAAGAAAGCAGGGTAGGTGCCCATAGTCTCCTCCAGGCTTCATGGACTTCACGGAAGATCACAGCCAGCACCTAGTGTGTGTGCTAATTAGATGCTGGACCCTCAGGCAGCAGCTTATAGGGTATGCAATCCGGCCTCTTCCAGGATGGGGGAAGATGGGTGTTTTGCTGGCTCTCTCTGAGCTGAGCCCTGGGGGGTAGATGCACTGCTCCCATTAAGAACTAATTCTTGGTTTGCTACA